ACCCTTGGCTATCCCTTCAGATCTTAAATGAGCCAACCTCTGAGCCACCTCATACCACCTTTCCTATTTCCTAGCCCTCCCTCTTGGTGGGGCCCCAGCTTAAATGTCAGCCCTCAGAGAGGCCTCCTCGAACTGCCCAGAAAGGCCAAGAAGGTCCCCTTTGATGCCTTCTCACTGCACCCCATTCTGCTCAGGCATCACCCCCATCTCTGCTGTTGCTCTGTCATGCGTTGCAGCAATTGGGAGGCTGAGGCAGGAGGATCATTGTGAGTTCCTTGCAGGTGCGAGGGGGACTCAGAAGCGGGTGCCCCTGCGTGGCTGAGCAGCTTGGGCTGTACACAGCGGGGGCCTATTCTGATTGGAGACCATGAGAAAGGGGTGCAGCACACAGCCCAGGGATATTTACGACTGGAAAGTTCCACGCACGCCTCTGCTGTCACCGTGCCCACAGCCACGCTGTGTGGGAGGCGGAAAGGCTCCGAATCCCTCCAGACCATGGAGCGAGAGGTGGCTGTGGCTGGAGGCGGGCAGGCCGCTTGTCTGAGGACCCAGCCAGCCTTGTCCTCAGCAGGAAAGGAGGACGGCACCAGGCTTCGGGAACGTCCCAGCAGGGCCAGAGGCCTGGGATGCTGGGTCCCTCCCAGCGTGCTGGAGCCTCTGGGGAGGAGGCCGGGAGGCGTGCATTGTTTCCCGGTGCTCAAAGCAGCTGAGACCGATGCTCTAGCGTTTGCTGTGGAGCCGCCACTGCATCCGTCTCCCGGCACCTCACCAGAGCTCAGGGCCGCCCAGCCGCACACACAGGCCTGAGTCCAGCCCCATCATTCAGACTGAAAGAGTTTGGGGGTTTTCACGCAGGTATCCCTCTCAAGGGCAGAGCCCTCTGCACCTTCAGACACGCACCGGACACACATTCAGTCTCCACAGGTGACGTTAGGGACAGGCCGTATTTGGCAAGGTGCTGCCTCTGGGACAGAAGTCTGAACAAGCTAGGCGTGGTGGCGCATCCCTGTAATCCCAGAACTCTGGGAGGCTGAGACAGGAGGATTACAAGTTTGAGGCCAGCCTGGGCAACTTAGCAAGACCCTGTCTCAAAACTGAAAATAATTAAACATAGGCTTGAGATGTAGCTCGTCACTCACTGCCCGCCACCAAGGGAATGCTATGTACATCTTGCCTGTTATTAGTGGACTCATAATTAATGCTTATTAGGACGGCAGAGCGACGGCCTTAGGCACCTCCAGGAGATCTGCCGACCTCCCGAGACCCTCCTCACAGCACCACACCCCCCGCACAGCTTCCCCCCGATCGAGAGCAAGGCCCGGGCTTCGCTCACTCCAGTGCGGTGCTTACCGTGGTGGGGCTCCGCTGAGGATACCTCCACTTCTGTGTACTCCACGTCTGAGTTCACAGGCTCTGCTTAAAGGAACCACAGCACCCTGTGGTTAGACGGCATCTTCCCTGGGGCACCAGGCCCCATTACATATGTCCATTGCAATTAGGAAAGTATCTGGGGGATGGGGATATAGCTCGCGGCATAAGGACCTGCCTGGCAAGCGCAAGGTCCTGAGTTCGATTCCCGGCACACACAAAAAGGAAAGTATTCAGAGCATTAAGGCGTGCCAGACACACACAGGCTTAGCTCCACTCCAGGTGGAGAGGAAACCTCAGCCTGTGGAAGTCAGGATGGGCCCTGCCTGACAGGCAGAGACAAGGCCTCGGGACCGCCTCTCCACCTGCCCTGTTGTTGGATGCAGACGGACCTTCCTGCCTAGGTCCTGGTCTCTACGGTGGGAGGATTTCTAACAGTCAGCAAATCCACCATGGCAGTCAACTCCCTCTCAGTCTCGCTCGAAGTGCCAGAAGCCTTCCGTGCTGGGATGCTTTCGCTGCCATCCCCAGGGACACAGGAAGCGATCTCGGGAAGTGGGGAGTGGGGGGTAGGATCCCCAGCCAAGAATGCTTTGAGAGTGAGAGGCGTACCAGGCAAAGAATCACAAGCACCATTGCTCAGGGTGCTGCAGTGAAATCCAGGGAATTGGTTTATCTCCAATTCAGAATAATATTATTCAGAATAACCCGGGGTTCTCTGCCAGTGACTAAACCAACCATCTGCAGTCAAGGACATTTACCAGAAACAGGACTTTCTAAGCCTTTCGTGTATTTAATAGTTTCAGCTCCCATGGTAGCAGCCCAGAGTAGACGGGAACTTTAACATGTGACTTAGCCTAATCCCTCTGAGTGTTAGGCAGAAGCAAGCTATCTGTTGTTCACTGTCTTAAAAAATCTCCAACTCAGTTCTATCGAAGAGGAAAGACATCCACCTCCCCTACTCAGCAGCCCTCTTGGGATCCACACCCTGCTGTTCAGGTAAGACCTGTGATATGGCTTGTGCCTAGGTGTCCCCCCAAGGCCTCCTGCACTCATAGGCAGGGCTTTGGGGAGTGCCTGGGTCATGGGTGTGTGGTACTGAATTCGTCCACTGATTGGTTTAGCTTGGTTCTGAGTGTGGATGGCACCCACCAATAGTCCAGTAGCCTGGATGGAATAAAAACGAAAACAAAAAGGAAGGCTCAGGGCTTACTGCCTGCTGTGGGCTGTTTTTCCTCTGCCATGCCCCTCTCCCACGCTGCCCTGCCTTGGAGCCAGCCAACTATGGACTGAAACCTCTACACACTGTGAGCTACGATAAACCTTTACTCCTTTACCTTGTGGGTATGAGGTATTTTGTCCCAGCAACGAGAAAATAACCAAGGACCTGGTTCTTTCCTACTTGGATTTAGATTGTGTTTCCTTTAAGGACACTAGATACATCTTCGGAGGAAGCACCTGGTCATATCTTGCATATACATGAGTTAGTTACAGGCCCATTAAAAAGGGTGGATGATATTCTGCTGCTTCAAAGTTTTGGTTCTCTTTGTCCTTACAGGTCTTTTTTTTTTGGTACCGGGAATCGAACTCAGGACCTTGTGCTTGCCAGATAGGCGCTTGTGCCACTGAGCTATCTCCCCAGCCCCAGGTCTTCCTTTAAACGCAGAAGTTTATCCTGAAACGCTCGGAGAGTTAGCTCATTACCTTTGCTTTCACAGGGCTGCTTCATCGCATGGTTTCCAATGTCATCGCTGTAACCTAGTTGAAACATAACAATTAATCGGGATGAGTGACGATGGAAATTCTAGTTTTCTGTAACTTTAAAAATTCAG